ATCTGCGCTTTAATACCTTAACGGGGTGGGAAGGGTAGATATGGATATGATGACCACGCGATAATGTCACGTGTAGCCCCTCATTGAGGAGTGATTACCGGACATTATGTGGGTGATCCATATTTTAATAACCTAGGACCCCTACCCCCCCCCCCCCACCTTTTTTTTCTTTATTCTTTATTCTTTCTTCAGCATTGTAACTCCTTATTTAAAAATCAGCTCTTTGATTGTTCTTTTAAATTTATTTACTTTCAAACCATTATGTATTGAAATCCCCTCTTACTTGAGCCTTATCTGCTTACATGTTAATTGTACCCCAAATTCACAATAACTGTCTGGCCGGGAACCACACTAGTGGATCCTGAGGGGTGCCTAACACCTTTCCCATAGGATAATTTCAAGCCCTTACCCAATCTCTGGTTATTCAAGCAAGCTTAGAGTTGAATCTCTATTGGTGTCCTAATGCACCTTAATCATTAGGTGGCGACTCTTCAAATGCAAAACCCAGTTCCCAAAAGGAACGAGTTGTCCCATACCAAATTGTCACAAACCTGATTTCGCGAGAAAAAGGGGGCGCGACACTTGCACGTTCAAGAATTAATGAAGCATTCTCTCAAGTCATCCATCAATCTTGCAAGCGACTCTCAAGGGCTCAAGAACAAAGAACAACATAACAACGGACCAGTTCCCTGTATCGAGTTATTACATGTCCTTTGTTGTGTTGTAACTTTCTTAAAGTACTCTACTTGTAATTCCTACATAGCTTAGTTAGAAGCATTGTGTAGGAAATCTTTATAAATCATAAACCCTTGTGTTTGTGTCTTGGCTAGAGTTAGTCGTGTTGTAAAGTCTTTGTAATAGAGTTATTACAAAGTGGCTTGTAATAGTGTTGTTACAAGTTAGTGAGGGATTAAGCGGTTAATTCCTAGGTTACAATAGTTTGTACTCTGAAGTTTGCTCAGTAGTGAAGTTGAAATTCTACAAGGATAGGTCGTGGTATTTGATCTCGTGAGCTTAAATTTTCCATGTAAAATTCCATTGTGTCATACTTACTGCAGTGTGCGTGTGTTCTATGGGAACTAATAGAGAACCTGATTCTCTATATAGTTTGGTGGACCCTTAATTTCTATCAAAGAGTTTACCAAGATTTGACTTTTGAGTAAACGACTTCGGGATGGGTATTTAAAGGTTCCAATAGGTTCATAAGGTGATTTTTGACTTGGGCGTATGTTCCGGTTGATTATCGGATGGTCCAGGAGCAGTTCGGCGCTTATTATCGGAAGTTTGCATTTTGAAGGTTTAAAATTTGCTAAGTTTGACTTAGAGTGTACTTTGGTGTTATCGGACTCCAGGTGGTGTTTTGAGACCTTGGAAAGGTTCAATTTATTGACTGGAACTTGTGAGTGAAGTTTGGTCATGATCCAGAATGTTTAAGAGTGATTCGAACACTTAAGCTGCGTATTATTTAAGTTTAAGAAAATGAATTGACCACAGTCAAATAGTGGACTTAGCGAGATCGGATTCATGATTTAAAGTTTAAACAGGTTTGTATGATGATTTTGGACTTGTCAGCAAGTTTTGGTTAAATTTCGGTGAGTTTCGGATGGGTTTGGATTGGGTCGCGCTCCTCTTGTTTCGGCGTCGATTCTTTTGGCATAAAGGTTACAATATTGAGAAAACTATCTTTGATTTGTGATTGTATGAACCATTAGATCTCTATCGTAATTACAGAGTCATAGCAATAAGAATCATCGAATTTCGAGATCACATGAAAGAGTTATGCCCATTTCTGTGTCGGAAAAGATTACTGATTTCTGGTGCGAACTTTTATTCTTCGCGAACGCAAGGGAGGTCTCATGAACGTGGAGAAGGAAATTTGGGTTGACTGGTTAACGCGAAAAATTACTCTTCGCGAACGCAAAGGTGTCCCGCGAAGGCGATGGATAATAATCACTTGGGCAGTGTTTTAAGCCGAGTATTTTGGTATTTTGAGCATATCTTGAGTTCTAGAGCTACATTTGAGGTGATTTTCGTGGTGCTGTTCTCATATCTACAAGGGGGTAAATATATAACATTTATTTTGATGTTTTGACATGATTATTTTTGTTGTTCATTATTCTTTTTCGTGTTTGGATTGTAAAAATTGGGGCTTTGAGCCCCAAAGTTGAGAATGATAAAATCTTAATTTGAGGGTCAACTCATGGACGAAATTGGATAATTTTATGGATATAGAATATGTAAGTTAAGAGTAATATTTATTTTCAAAAAATTTCGAAATACGAGCATGCGGGTCCGGTTGTTGACTTTTTGAATGAAGTTGGGAATTGGTATAGATTGTTAGATTACGAGTTTTTGAGTATGTTTTGATTGGTTTGCACGTTGTATGATTAGGTTCAGATCGTTTGGAATTGATTTGAGGAGTTCGAGAGGCGTTAGAGCCGGTTATCGGGTTCGGAGAAAGGTAAGACTTCTGTCTAACCTTGTCAAGGGGAATTTACCCCGTAGCTGTTATATTTGCTATGTGCTACATGTTGTGGGGGATACGCACGTATGAGGTGACGAGTGTCCGTGCATAGGCTAGAATTCCTGATTAGGTGTGGGTAGATTTTGACTTACGCTATGCTTTAATTACAATATTTGAGTTATTCTTGTCTGTTTATACTTTAATTTACATTTTTGCCTAAGACTAGACTTGCGTGAATTATTGGACTTGCGATTTTAGATATTTGGTGAGTTACTTGATTAGTAGTAGAGATTACACCTCCTTTTACAGATTTCTGCCGTGTGATACATATTTGTCCGAAAGTTTCTTGAATTTCACAACTCACACATATATTTGTGAGTGGGGCTAGTGACCCGTGAAGTTTCATTATTTATATGGGATCGGGATGAACGCCTCAGCAATACTATGATGGATCGAATCGTACGAGCTCAGCAGTATTATGAGATGCATCTATAGTTCGTGCCGGTCGACCCTCGGTAGTGTACACGATTATGGGATCGGGCTGAACGACCTCAGCAGGGATTGAGCCGTACTCCACGGCAGGAACTCGTGACTTTATTCTTGTGGGACCGGGCCGCTCGCCTCGGCATAATCGCGCGTAATACTTGATATGAATTCAATGTACCCGTGAGTTTTTTCTAATTTGAGATGTGATCGTTTATTCGTTGTTGACCATTATGTATTCCATTTGAGGAAGTACCCGGTATTTGAGGCCTTCGTGTTTACTTTTTAGTCGAGGATTGCATTATGTACTTATATTTGTTCTCCCTATTTTACCTGTCATGCCTCATACCTGTTTATTTTATTACATCTGATTTATTGTACCGCTAGTAAGTGTCTATGTCGATCCCTCGTTACTACTTCTTCGGGGTTAGGCTAGATACTTACGGGGTACGCATTGATTCACATTCTCATAATATACTTCTGCACTAAATGTGCAGGTAATGAGACATGCACATTAGATATATGGATAGGAGACGTTGTACTAGTATCTACAGGCCCTAAATTATCAACAGGCTCTCCGAGCACGTTAAAATTTCGTCCCAGAGTCGCTCCCCCGACCAGAACACTTATAGGAGCTCCTGTGTCAATCACTTCCATTCCTCTCGTTAGACCATCTGTAGCACTCATAGCTACAGCCCTAACTCGCTTATTTCCTAATAATTGTTGTACCTCACAAGGCGCGTTGGCGCAGCTGCTGAGGGGACTTTTTTTGGTGAGCTACATTCCATGCTACGATCCGCAATACACGGAGTCTCCATCATATCCATTTTGTAGTGTTGTATGTTTCTAGTAGATGCTCATGCACTTGTGACACCAAATTTTGGGATTTTCTAGTAGATGTTTATTGACTTGCCTAATATTGTAACCTTCTTATTTTATGTTTTATTAATATTTTGTATATCCACGATTTTCTAAGCATTAATTTTCTCATTAATAAAAGCCTTGATTTTAATAGTAATAAAATGAATGGCTAAATGGATAGTTCACCGCTGGCTTGTCTAACGGCGACGTTAGGCGCCATCACGGCCTATAGTAGGAATTGGGTCGTGACAATAACACTCAAATTGATAAATTTAGACAATTGAAAAATAGTGACAAAATATTAAGCCAATTGATAAGTTGAATAAAAAGTCATATTATTAAATGTGTAGTACTAAGTACTCTAATTTAATAAAGAATAAAATAAGAAATAAATAATTTATTTGATTACCATGTGATGTGTATTCTTTAATTTTGTATAGATTTTTATTTTTTACACATTGTATTAAAAAATAAAATATCTAATATGTATATCAGATCATAATTTCATAAAATGAATATTCTTTAAAATTATCGCCACATCACACAGATTCTAATACTAGTGTGTCAAATTATACGGTTACTGTGAAAAATTGTGCAATATTAGTGTATATAATTTAAAACCCTTTTAAAAGTTGTGTTTTAAGTTTTAACCCGAGCAAGTTGAGAAAAATTGCTCGATATCTAGAACCATTGACCAGTAAATTGACACCACCTGCCTTACGACTCTTATGTTATTGGATTAGTTGCACCAATCATACAATCAAATTAACATGTGGTGAGTGTAGAGAGAACCAGTTTGGACATAAGAATTTTCTTTCTTTTTTTCGAAAAAGTTTTATTTTTTTTTCAAAATCAGTGTTTGGCCGTAAAATTTTCAATTTTCACTTTGAAAAAAAGCTGTTTTTCAAAATTTAAAATTCAAAAACAACCCAAAATTATATTCATGTCCAAACACAACTCTAATTTTCAAAAACCATTTTCAATTGAAAAAAAAAATCACTTTTTTTTTGGAAATTTACAATTCTTATGTCCAAACTGGTTCTAAGTATGGCTACCAAAATATGTAAAGCCATTTAACCAAATACAATCATGTGGTTTCAAAGAAATTTAAAACCTGATTTCCTCCACAGATTCTTCGGGCGAAATGACGGAAGTTTCCAACGTTCTTACGTTCATACTCTTTTTGGTATTCTCTTACCCCCGGGATATGATACCTTATAACTTCAGAATTACAAGTTATTTTGTTGTACTTTGGACCTTTCCAAAAATTTTGGGGAAAAAGAAAAGGTACCCACGAATAGAGAGAATAAATATTAGCAACAGTTCAACCACAGTTTTTCAATGGTTGTAGTTGAACTGCCTTTGATTTTACATGCTATTTCCATTTCTGATCTTTTTTGTTTCTCCTCCTAAAGTATTATCATAATGGAAAATAGTATATTTTTTGCCGGCAACTATAACTTTTACAGGATGGAGCAGAAAAAATTCACCCTGCTTTACCAATAGTGAAACGAACTCTAGTTTGTATCAGCTTTGCTGTCAAGAAAAGCTTGTATTGATGGGTCCCTCCCAAGAAATTCAGATAACATTTCAATGGGGTCTTTTCCTCCTCCTGGGGCCAATACCTACCCACAAAGTGAAAATGAAATAAATTTTAAAGTGCTAAGAAAGGAGAGCTTTCTCATGTCATTACTTTAGAAAATGAGCAATTCAGCAGGGAACTTAGGATGTGATCCTCCCTTATAGTTTTTGGAAACTGCATTCACTTTCTGAAAAAACATGAAGACTTCCTCAAACTGAGTCGGCGATCATGAAACTAAAAGACCTATAAAAATTGTTTTTAAGTAAAACTCAATACTCATAGCCAGAAAGGCCCTAATCTTGTGAGGGGCAGGTGTTTATACTTCAGCCGTAATTGGAGAATGGAGTAATTGCATGCAGACAGGTTCTTTAGTGTGCAGTGAAATTTTAAGTTTCAAGTTTACTGACGATTGGGGAGGGGCGTCAAATTGATAGAAACATAGCTGAGTGTGGATAGAGACAGCAGTCCTAGTGGCTAAGAGGAATTCATTCGGTTAGATGTGGAATTTGGAAATTGTAGTAACATAGGAGGATATGTCAGATGCTGCAATAGTTGCAAATCTAGACTACCATTGACTTATGCCTCGGGGTTTTTTTTTATCAGTTATCCCCAAGGACTCCTGCCTCAGATAACCACAAAAAGCAAAGGCAAAATTACATCTCCAATTGCAAAAGCTAGTTCTGGTCTTTAAACATGCAAGAGAAAGAGCGATCTATCCATGTTAAGTTATTCGCTGGGATCACTTGATACTAATCACTTAGGTTTTATGGGAAAACTAACCCATCCTTGCAGAATCAGACATCATATGTGCTTAAGTATTGTCGATCTAAACATAAAATTCAAGTGTAGGAAATGGAAAGTACAATCTCAGGGATGTACTTGGTACCTTATTCCTAAATTGCAAGCCTGCTTGCAGGTTGAAAATATCATCATGAAACTTCAACGCAAATATATCAGCAGCAAAGACCTAGGAAGCATTAATAAATTTATCAAAACCATATTACCAAATAGAATATGAACACTCCAAACTCTACAGGAATTCTGCAATACTTATGGCAAAGCTTAGCATGAGGTAGCTGATGATGCATTTAGCAAAAATAATAAAATACACCCTTCGCTTCATTTTACATGGCGATGTTTGACCGGGCATGGAGTTTAAGAAAGAAAGATTTCTGGCACATACCCAAAATTGCTCTTAAAACATGTAATCTTAAACATGCCATGACATTTCTATGGCTATAAGAGCAATGCTATTAAGAGTAAAATAAAAAGTTCAAAGTTAAAGAGTTTCCAAAGAAAGAGTGCCATATATAATGAAATAGAGGTAGTAAATGGAGGAAAAAGAAAGCAAGTAACAATCTATTAGGCTTTTACAGGCACATCCATGAATGACAAACTTGTCAAGTAAACAGATAAGAACGAGGATGAGCACAACCTCACTCCAGATGTGACTGTAGCAAGTGGCCTCATAGCCAATAGCAGTTCGTGGAAAACATGAAGCTGGGTTTATTCCTTCTAAAAGCGGTAAGCCTACCATAACCTGGAGAAATGGGGAAGAGCTTACGACACAAAATATATTAGGGTTCCTTCCAATAAACAACAGTGACAACATATACCTTCGGATAAAGATGCTTGAACAGCCCACTAATGTCAACATTCTCAGTAGAATGAATAATTTGATCGAATAGACCTGAAAAGATGAATGTGAACTCTTTAAAGTGACCCTCTTTAAATGACACAGTCTAAGAGGCTTGTGCTTCCTTCTGGTGCATTGACCAACCTTCAACTGTCCAAAATATTTGTTTCCTACATTTTGTCCCCAACTAATTTATTTTAAGCAGGATAACAGTCACTGGCTTCATTCTGAGTGGTAAGTGCAGCCCCCTCCCCCACCTCCACCCCCACCCCCCACACCCAAAAGAAAAATAAAATAAAAGGACATCTGCAGCAAAAACTTGAAACCCAAGATCTATTTGATGGTATATATGATAGCATTCTAAAAATTCATGAGTCCTACCAAACCTTTAACTCAGAGACCGCTATTGCATATCTTATGCATATGTGAATTAAATATGCAACAGTTTTTTCAGAGTGTTAGAATAGTCATGTAAATAGGAGTAAATAAATAACCCTAATCCAATATATATTAGGAGTAGGACATGTTATGTGTGTGTATATATATAGGGCTCATTGTAACATATGTCAATACATCAATAATATATTTTCTCCCGTGCATTCTCACATGGTATTTTCACCATGTCCCTCACTGGTCCTCGTATTAACTACATATGTAACAAGCTCGGTACATATGATTTATATGCACCAGCTTGAGGGGGAGTGTTAGAATAGTCATATAAATAGGAGTAAATAAATAACCCTAATCCAATATATATTAGGAGTAGGACATGTTATGTGTGTGTATATATATAGGGCTCATTGTAACATATGTCAATACATCAATAATATATTTTCTCCCGTGCATTCTCACACAGAGCAAAAGGTAAATTATAATTTTCAATAATATAGGACTAGGGCATTGCATTTTTCACATAAGGTGCAGATTACAAAATATCCCTTTAGCTAAGAGGGGAAACTGATGAAGCCCATAAACCAAATACTATTACACCAAAGAAAAATGCAAACATGAGGCGTTCAACTGATGAACTGTTGTTCGACAGTCTTCAAAGCACCTGCCGTTCAAACCCAAACGAAGCACAGAGGAACGGTTTCCCGAATGTCTCTACCTTCCGTTTTCCTTTTTTTTTCATCTTCAGCGCCAAAAGCACTGTGATATGGTCATATCATTGTCATCTATTTCATTCACATATATTTAGGAACATATGCCACATTTCAGTTGCAGCTTTCCAGTACTGGAACAGGTGATTAACACTTCTCTTCTTTTCACACATAAAAAACATCTGTTACACATTATTATTTCTCCTTTCATCAGATTATCTTGGGTTAGGCAAGCTTCATTTGGAGAGACTCATCCAAAAGAGGAAACCCTTGGAGGGGCCAGCACCTTACACGCAGATTTAAGTAAATTTGTCGTTTTTGGTTTAAGGTCATCTGAATTAATCATTTTCTCACACCTCCCAAGCCCTTTCACACAATACATCCAATAAATGCAGCAAGCCATGCATCCAAGTATCCAACTATCCTATAAATTTTTCCTCAGATTAATGCTCCAATTATTACAGTCCTGCAATGAGCAATTGTAGCATCTGGATTTACAGCTAAATTGAGCTATCAGGGTTAGTCTCCTTCAAGAGTTTATTTCTAAGATAACAACCTTTCCAAAATCTTTTTCGACCATCTCCTACTTTTAAGTAGGTGTATATTTGGAATGCTGACCAAAGACTTCTGTGTGTCCTCAGACCATATCCATGACAGGGTTTGAGTTTGTCTTGTTGCACCAAGAGTGCTGTTTCCCATTTTTAGCACTTAACCCTTCTCCAAGGTAAATCTCCGTCTTGACTATATCACAAAAACTATTTAAATAGCTCGTACTCTGTAATCTTAAGTTCCTTACACCAAGTCCATCCTTAGTTTACACCTCTTTCACCTTCTCCTATTTGACCAATATCATTTTATCACCCCTTTTCCTCAGAGGAAGCCTTTTCATAGTCTATTCAGTTGGTTCTCCACTTTAGCAGGTAAAGGAAACAAAGACATGGTATACATGGAAAGATTATCGAAAAAACTATTTGCTAAAGTTGCTCTTTCTCACTTAGACAAATACCACATCTTCCAACTTGATAGTCTATCTGCAGAAGGAATTGGCGAAATCGGTAAAGATGCATAGAAGGAAAGAAAGCGGCAAAAACAGGAAAAAGAAACGAAAGTGGAGTTAGGGCTTTTGGTGCAATGAAAGGTATTGTTTGAAATATAAGAAAATGTAAGAGACAACAAAGTAAAATACTTGGTCAATCCAAGGAGCTTTTAAGCAGAAAAGATATAAGTTAGGGTGCCAATTAATGATTTTTGGCTTGTTTTAGTTTAAAAGCACTTTTGGTGTTTATCAAACACCAAAGATAAGACAAAAAGTGCTTAAAAAGCTAGTTTGACCAGCCTTTCAAGGGGGTTTGGATAAACTTAGAAGCTGGTTTTAAGCACCTTTTGGCTTATTTTAGTGTTCGGTAACACCAAAAGTGCTATTAAGCTAAATGTTTTTATGCCAAAACAAATCAAAAGCCAGAAGCTGCACACCCCAACATGGCTTTTCAACTTCAAAGCTCCTTGTGTTTGATTAAGTATTTTACTTTGTTAACCCTTACAGTTTATTATACTCCCAAAAATACCCTTCACTACACCAAAACCCCTAACTCTACTCTCGTTTACTTTCTCTCTTCTGTGCCTGTCTCTCTGCTTATTTCCATCTCTGCCTTTCCATATCCACCGGGTTCACTGCTGCCATTGTATCTCGTCACTGTCATCCCATTCCTTTGCTTCCATATTTGACCAGTTCATTTGGATTTATTAGTTTCCTTACAAAAACATTTCTGAAACCCAGTAACTTTTATAGGATCATTGTGAAATCCAACTAAAAAAACCCAGAAGCAGACTCGTGGTGATTTTATATCTTTTGCCCGCATTTGGAGGCAGGGGGGCAGGGAAGGAGATCTATTTTACCAGCAAAATATTCCTTCAACACTAATTTTCTTTTGGCGTGAAGGGACAGTTGGGGAGGTAGGAAAGCCCAAAGTAGCTACGGAAATTGCCTTTTTGGACCTCCAGTGATTGATAAACTATGTTTTGGTACTCAGGATATCTTACTGAGAAAATTTAACCTTCAATTAATTGAAATGTGCATTTTAAGTCCCTCCTGAACTAGACTCCGACCAATTTCATGGTTTACTCTTAAAACATGTGAATATTAGTCTTACATTATGTACTATGCCAAGTGGAGGCCATTTTAGTGCTTATGTTCCCCACAGAAAGGTGACAGTTGCAAACAAACTATATCCCCCTAAATTTGCAGTAAATAAATATCAATATAACCTCCATGTAGCATAGTAAATGTAGGCACGTGGTTCAGTAGTTAATATTCTATTGAATTTGCGGGAGGCCATCAATCAAGAGAACAAAGTCGATATTTCAATTAAATGGAAGTTAAATATTGCTTAGTTAGATATCACGAGAACCAACAACAAAATCTGAATGAAGGAACCAAAAGTGCAAATTTCCCACGGAGGAAAGTGATGTTTGATCAAAAGATAAAGGCAAAAGTCCTTAAGCCAGGACTGAATGTGAAATAGGTGAGCTAAGATGACCTTACTTCTCTCGGATCATGCATACATAAATTATCTCAAAATTAGGGGTGGCAATTTGAGCCAAAACCCATTTGACCCGCCCAACCGGCCCAAGGTAGGGCTGGTCATTGACCCACCCATTTGTTGAACTCAGCCAATCTTGACCCAACCCATTTCAGTTCATCTAAAGTTGAGCTGATTTTTAGCCCAAGTTTTCCATGAGTAACTTTGCTAAAATATATTAAAAATAATTTTTTTTTTTTTTTGTTTGATATGTTAAATATGACCATAGTAAAAGGAAAAAGTCTTATTTGATAATTAAAAAATTCATAAGAACACAATAACATTAATTAAAGCTAGGTAAGAATTTGGCGGGTTGGGCTATGACCCAAATTTTAGCCCAACTTGACCTAGCCCATCTCAGCCCAAGTCACTTTTGGGTGGGTCAATAACCCGCCCATTTATTGACGCAGCCCATTTTAACCCGTCCAAAATTAGCCCAACTCGCCCATTTGACACCCCTAGTCAAAAGCAAAGAAATGTTTAGAAAAGACTGAAGATCAGACCTAGTGAAGGGCTGATAGAAGATCTGATAACACAAGGTAATGGGATCAGGCCAGAAGCAGGACAAATCCAGAATGTTGAGCAAGTAGGGATGGCATACAGGTATTTGTGATTCTTTTTATCAAATGACCTATAGTTATTTGTGATTATTCTAACATGTTACGTTGCACATTCTAAGATTATATCATAGAAATATGTGGGAAAGGAGTAAGCATATCATTGAAATAGTGGCAATTTAATAAGGTATGCATGACTAGGAAAGCGCAGTTGCTAAAAAAATTGCAGCAGAAAGTGTATCTGACAGAATTCTTATATTTACTAAAAAATCAATTAATGCATGCTTGTGTTGAAGACTACCAATTTTAGTATCTAAAAGGACCCAAAAGAACAGAATAGGTTATCCCTTCATGGATTAGAAGAAGAACCAGTAAATTGCTAAGTTTTAAACAAGCTAATAGAAAGACTTACAATAAAAGATCTCCTGTTTTAATTTCAGTGCTGAGAAGGAGCATCGCCATTTCTTAAGCGATTTACAAAGTTCATCTTTGATGGGCTTTGTGATATCCTACAAAAGGTAAGTGACGCCGATAGAGTATAAATATTATCAAACTATCGAAAAAAGAACGATTACCAAGTTTGTTGGCAATAACATCAGGTCAAGCATAGTTTCTGATTTGAAGCCAATGTATCAAACTTGAAATCTATTGGTTAAACTAGCATGAAGGTTAACATAAGCAAGTAAAAAAGCAAATGCATTCCTTCAAAGTAACCGTTTTTCTTCCTTTTTTTTTTTTTTTGAATGGTAAATGCTACTCAAAAGAACATTTCTTGCGACAGAGAGAACAGATGGAAGAGCAAGGAAAAGCAGAATAGTAGCAAGTCTGAATATCTGACATATTTTAAGTCTCATCTTACTGGAAGTATAGAGAATGGATAGAAAGTACAGTGGAAGTATGGATCACCTGATGAAAACCAGAGATCAGTCTCAAAGAGAGGCTTTCATAGCACCTGGCACGAATAATTCAAACTTATAATACCATAAGCTAACGATACAGGGATCAATTTAAAGGGCAAAGTGTTAAACACACACCAATTCTCCATCAAAAGGGCGGGAATCTCCACAAAATCAGGATCCAGGCGCAGCCCCGAGAATTTGGCAAATGATGCACAGTTGCAAATGTGATGTATCTGAAACAAATACAGGAGCAAGAACACGCTTAGCTGTTCCAAAAATTAACCCGGTGTGTGGATGAGATTTTACATAGAGAAGTACATGAGGTAAACTTTATCAATATGGGTACCACAGCTGAATGATAAGCATCTACGAAGTGGTTGCCCATCATATTTTAGCCAAATAGCAGGAATAAATACAGACATGAATTGATCCTCGAGTTAGGTCTCCTTTCGACCATAAACAAAGTGACTCTACTTTTCAATTTAGTAATCGAGAAATTCCGAAGGGCGAACTAGCGCACTGTTCGAACTCGGTGGATAATGAGCGCGTCCCTAACCCTTCTCTACTAAAATACCACACTTTTGTCTCTGACATGTTTCAAACACGTGATGTGCAAAGTGACATTACTTGTATCATAAAATTATTCATGAAAGAGCATTTTGATTTTAATCTTTAATTCAATGGTGGAAGCTAAATTCTCTATCCATGAATATGAAAGGAATTTATATCGTTACAAGAAATCTATCAAAGGAAAGAAATCAAAACAAATGAAAGAGAGTATTACAAGATCTGCTACATGTATTGATCTAGTAAATGTATTTAGACTATATTTACAGCTAATATTCTATAATACTCCCCCTCGAGTTGGAGCGTAGATGTTGACCATGCCCAACTTGTTCCAAAGATAATTAACTCGAGTTCTATTCAGCGCTTTGTGAATAAAATCAGCTAGTTGCTCTCCGGTCTTTACATAACTAGTGGAAATCAGGTTCTCCTGAATCTTCTCACGAATAAAGTGACAATCAACCTCGATATGTTTGATTCTTTCATTGATATACTGGATCAAGGCGATATGCAGAGCGACTTGATTATCACACAAGAATTTTGCTGGTATAGGGTACTTCAACTCAATTTCTATCAAAAGGTTATGTATTCACATAATCTCACCCGTGGCTGTGCCATAGCTCTGTACTCGGATTCTGCACTTGACCGAGATACAACATTTTGTTTCTTACTCCTACATGATATAAAATTTCCACCAACAAAGACATAATAACTGATAGTCTAAGTTGCTCCGACACGGCAGTTCAGATGCCGCACCTGTGTTGACACGACACTAGCATGGGTGTGGGCATGGGATCCGTACCGGAATTGGTCAAATAATTTTGGATACTTCGACCACAACGGTGGAAAAATTCGAGACGAAATACAATTTGATCCGGAACCGAAATTAGGGTAAATTTGAAGAAATTAGCATATCTTATCTAGGAAATCAATCATTTACTTATCTACAACTTGAGAATAAAAAATAAATCCACACTTTACAAGCTATACGTGAGTATTCCATAAAAATTCTCATAATTTAGAGATACTTCTATATTTTTATTTTTTGGAATCATTTTTAGTCGGATCCTCGCACACGTATCCGTACTAGGATCTGTATCCCTAATCTTAGAATTTACATCTTGAAGGATCCGACCTCTAGATCTGTACCCGTATCAGACCTGCACTTGTATCCGAGCAACTTAGCCGGTAGTAAACCTTCTACCAATTTTAGATCCAGCCCAATCAACATTTGCAAAACACCCAACCCGAGTATGTTCGCGGTTGCTATATAATATGCCAAGCCCAGGAGCTCCTTTTAAGTATCATAAGATCTGTTCTAAAGCTGCCAATGATTGACCGTAGGCGCAGCAATGAATTGTCTAACAACACTTATTGCAAAGGCAATATCTGGACGAGTTATCGTGAGATAATTTAATCTCCCAACCAACCTCCTGTATCTTTCTAGATTGGTGAAGGGATAGCCGTCATCTTTTGTAAGATGCACATTTGGAACCATTGGAGTACTACGAAGCTTGGCCACCAACTTTCCAGTTTTCGCAAGTAAGTCAAGGTTATATTTTCTCTAAGACATGAAATTCCTTTCTTCGTTTTAGTTACTTCAACTCCCAAGATGTATTTTAGTTGCCACAAGTCTTTTGTATGAAACCTAGTATGTAAGAATAATTTGACAGAAGATATTCCTGCAAAATCACTTCCTGTGATGACAAAGTCATTAACATATACAACGAGAAGGATAATGCCAACTACTGACTTACATGTAGAAGACAGAATGATCACATTTGCTCTTTGTAAGTCCAAATTCTTGAACTACCTCGCCAAATTTTTCAAAACAGGCATGAGAAATCTGCTTCAGACCATACAAGGATTTCTCCAAGTGAAAGACTTTCCCATACCCCCTCTCCCCTGAGCAACAAAACCAGATGGTCGCTCTGTGTACTCTTCCTCTTGAAGATCACCATAAAGAAATATTTTTTTAATATCCAACTGATGTAAAGGCCAATGCTCGGAGGCAGCTAAAGAAACAAACAATTGAACAGAAGTGAGCTTGGCCACCGAAGAAAAGGTGTCTGAATAATCTACTCCATAAGTTTGAGCATACTCTTTAACCACGCCTTAAGCCCAGCCACAGAACCATCTGGATTTACCTTGAATGCAAAGATACATTTGCATCCCACTGCCTTCTTCCTCTTTGGTAAGTCCACCAAATCCCAAGTGTGATTTTCATCTAGCGCATGGATCTCCTCAAGCATTGCATTGTATTATACCAACCAGGGTGATTCGAAGCCTCCTTAACTGTCTTTGGCACAGAGATAGAGTCTATAGAGGTAATCAAAGAGCTAGATGCAAGAGATAAATGGTCATAGGAGATAAAATTAGCAATGCAATAAGATGGTCATCCTTTTCAACGATACGTAAATAGACCCTGATTTTCCCACTCCAATGTAAATAATTAGACCCATTTAATTTATACTCTGTAATTTTGGATAATGTTGGAACTATTCTAGTCACGGAAGCTTTATCATCAGACGTTTTTAACTGATATTTAGTCAAGAAACTTATGAATAAAAGTAAAAAATGAACAATCTGACACCTAAAATTGGTTGACAAAAGCAAGATGTGAATGATACCGAATAAACAGCACGCACACAAAACAACAGCAATCCGACACCCAAACAGAATCTGATAGTTGTAGAAGCACAAAACAAATTTCCAGATTGACTGTCTTAGAAGTATAGGGAAAAATAAAGCCAATCTGGACGTGAAGATTAAACTCCAAACAGTGTTTTAACACCAGGAAAAACACCTGGTATATGCTGGAATTGATGAGGTGATGCCGGAGTGTGAGAGGCAGTCGCGAGGTGGTGTGTGTGACTCACTCGATGCCTACCCTGACGCCGGGAAAAAATTCTCAGCATAAATTGAGCCTTAGCAGCTTTGATACCATGTAATTCAATGGTAGAAGTTGATTTCTCTATTCATAAATATGAAAGGAATTTATACAGTCACAAGGAATCTATCTAAGGAAAGAAATCAAAACAAATAAAAAAGAATATTACAAGATCTGTTAAATGTATATAGAATGATCTAGTAAATGTATTTAGACTATATGTATAGCTAATATTCTATAACATAATCTTTTTGGTCCTTTAACTTCAACTATGTATTGGCAACTAGAATTCTTCGTGCCAGAAGGTGAATGTCATTTGATGTAGTGATGCCATTACATAAGGGCAAAAGGAAATCAACCCATATGATAGGGGGAAAAAGGAGGATAAGAAAAGAAAGGAGACAAACACTTGTTAGATCTGCATCTTGTCCCTTACTTGACTTGTCTTAGCTGAGAGAACTAGATAGAGAACAAGAATTCTTTTTACCTTGATAGAGGTGGTGTGTGGTCCAACTTATGCACACCATCTACCAGGTACTCACTATCTCCAACCACCACAAGTATCGGTAACTCCGTTCACAAAGACTTAATAGATGTAGAGAATAGCTTTTTTGCCTCTGCTAGGTTTTGTACAATTAAATATGGCAACAATTCATACTATGTAAATATAGAAGGATACCCAAATCATGTAATTAGGTAATTAGGAGATTTTGTAGGCTTGTAATTATAGCATTTCCTTATTTGTATTTCTTTCGAAGGTTATTTAAACCCAACAGCTTGAGCTTTGAGGGAATAATCAAGCAATCTATTCTACGAATTCTTTCTTCTCTTCTTGTCTTGACATGGTATAGAGCCAGGCTCTTCGCCAATTTATTTTTACCAAATGTTGGGTCCCCGTCTTATATTGTCAACACTCTAGATGTCCAGTCCCGGGCATGTTGGTGGTGAGAGTGTTGAGTTCCACATTGGCTGTGGAAAGCGAAATTGAACTCCTTATATGATCTTGGCAATTTCTATCTCATAAGCTAGCTTTTGGGTTGAGTTAGGCCGAAGACTTGTTTCTTTATCAATAATATGTGAAAAAGTTGTGATCAAAGAAAAAGCTATTTCACTTCCAAAATAGTAATATTATCATATAAAATGGAACAACTGGAATATTCTATATTTTTTTGTTGTTGTACACAAATGAAGTACTATATTACGATAAGAAATAATACAGTATACGATTATCATTTACATTCTTACATGTTCTTACTAAAACAATAGTATCAAAAGTTAACATAACAAAACAACACTGAAGAAAAATTGAGACAATTGGGATTATTGGAGGAAGTCTAATATTGGCTATATGCAATAAACTAATAGAATATTTGGTATGGACTTTAATTATTAACGAATACGAAACCATTAGCACCCAAAGGATAAGCTCTAATCGGGAATCGAAATGAGTTGTGTAGGCTAGAGAATAGGAAGGGGGTTAGGAAAAGGATAAATGGAGGGGAAAAAAAGAACAGAAGAAGTGATTGTTAATGATGTTAGTTGTTGTCTTGTTTTTGGTTCTAGCTTTGCCTTTAAACTAGGTCCTGTTATGCAAGCACGTCACATTGTAGCTCCAAAAGGGACCAGCGTGGCCGTGAGCAAATGCAAATAAAATTTTAAGGACCAAAGGCACAAAATCTGACTTAGAGGACAGAAGAGTTTTGGGGCTTCTGTGGTTAGCCATTCAATTTCTGTTACAGCTCAAGTCTATGGTACGTACTGTTCCCTTTGGCCCAACTGACCTCATGGATTGGCCTCTTTGGTTACATCACATTGAGCTAACAAGCAGGCGTACCATGTGTTCTTATATAGCACATCACTTTTGTCTCCCTTTCCAGTGCAGGATAGGTGTCATGCATTCCATCTTTATTAGTCTGTTAGCCTACAGTCTGTTGGTCCTTCTCCTTAACACGTCCTTATCACCCTGCTCCTTCATGGGCATCACATGCACCCATCTGAAGAACTCAGCGTCCTTGTAGAGGTTTGTCCCATTATCGTACCCATAGTACATATTGTTCGCATTAACCTAAAAGATGTCACAAATTTGTGTCTTAAGTTACTCCATATCGAGCCGAAAAGCCTGGGTACCATGTGAACTTTTATTTAGCAGAGAAATCTCCGAGGACCAGAGGTGGATGATTGGAAACTCGGAGGATAACGGGTCTGCCCCTCTATCCTTCTCCACTTAAATACCTAAGTTTTGTTTGCGGCAGATGTGCGCCTAATTCACACATTGGCGTACCATGAACTTGTGCTCTGTCTTTTATAGCACATCACTTTTCTCTCTCTTTCTAATGTGTGATTTGTCTAAGATATCAAATGCACCTCTTCTTAGGGAGCTTGCTAACCTGGAAGCCTGTCAGTCATTCTCCTTTGACCCGCCCCCATCAGTCCTCCCTCATTCATGGCGTCACAATTTTACACGTGATACTTTTTACTCCACCAAACACATATACAATTAAGAATAAGATAAGCATTTCTCTCTGGAAGTCTTCCAGTAAGCTTAATGTCAAAGGTACGGCTCTATAGTTCTCCTTCATTGCAATATAAACAATAAAGTTTCATGGCATCATACTTCAATTCTTTGGTTGAAGCACGGCTTTCATTTTTAACAAGTTCAGATCAGGCGATTAATCACATCTGACATTTTTTCTTGTTACCACTTTCCGAGCTGCAGACGATCCTTATATGTAACAAAGGCAGCTCAATAATGATTTCAACATGGATTCGACCTGAACTAAACCATTTTTCAAAGGACTGGCAGTCACTTGGATTAATTCCAGTGCACCCCTTGACTAACAAGTTGTGAAGCTGGCAATGGCTCTTAGCCAGTGCCCCACAAGGTTTTTCCTCAAAACTGAAATTATTAGACAAAACAATAATCACAAGATCGGCTAAGGAAAAAGGACATACTAGTATTTAATTGGAAGGGAGGTGCCAGGTGACATTGCTCTCCAATTGTATTATAACTTGACAGGAGAGAACTGGAATTCAGACTAGTGTTCTAATTTTTCACTAGGCATGAAAGGAAAGTCACATACCACATGACCAAATTCATGGAAAAGATTCACCACTTCGGGGAATTGCAACAACCCAGGGTGACCATCAACTTTCTTTTCAAATTGAGAAACAAGTAGCGCCACAGGAACCTGGATCCAAGGAAATTTCGTTAGTGAAAATCTAAGAACTAGAATCAGGCAAGTGATACATCCAGCAGTTACCTGTCTTGAACCATTATTTAGTAAACCATTCTGAAGAGCTATGACACAGGTGTGCGCATATTTACCGACTCTGTTAAAATTGCAACGAATTTTCAGTATTCTACCATAAAGTTGATAAAGGAAGCACATTGAACTGGAAGAAGAAGAATCGAGCTGGGATAACCTGGAGTATAGATCTAGGTAAAAATAACCAACAAGTTCTTTAGAACTTAGATCTGAAGCTGAAAATAGCTGCACATCTGGATGCCAAACCTCAGCACCTTCAACTTCCTTGAAATCTAAGCCTAATATTAAATAAATTATTATTATTATTATTAAATTATTGTGCTATGAGTAAGGGAAAAAGGATCAAAGACAGCACCAAATACAATTCGGGGTGATTACCAAATAAGTCTTGGCAGATTTTGAAGATGCCGGACAAAACCAAATTGATAGGGAAGTACTGTTTAATTACTCCAAAATTCATACGGAATTGTTGATCTTTGACTCTTTTGACATAGTATGGAAGATCCTCCATGCCGAAAGGACATTCGCCTTCCTCTTTCTTCTACATTACCAGAACACAAGAATCTTCAAGAGGTGAAGCATATAGGTGAAACAGACAAAAACATAAGTTAAAGTGTCAACATACAGGAAATTTGAAGTTACCTTTAATGCTTTAACCATCGAAAGTTCCCTGTAGGCTAAATCATTTAAGCTAGCAGAGAGACTCTCCAAGAACTCAAACACCTAATAAGTTTGAAAATCAAGAGAAACAGCAAACCAAAATTCATTTTGCAAACTTGTAATAAATATTCCAAATATATAAAACATAGATTGTTACTCTTTGCAATAGTGGAAATGATAGATATTCAGCACCTCTTAACATTTTGTGCATGATCCTTCTCTTTTATGTAGTAGTAGTCAGAACTATTAAAAGGAAAGAAAGGGTAATGACGGAATAGAGTAAAGAGAGACTTGTATTCCTAGGAGCCAAGGGAGTTGGGTATTCTTCTTGAGGGCAAATTATTCAAGTTCTCTAAAGAATATCAATCTTCAATGAATTTTGCACCAACCTTAGAGGAAGACTTTGCCATTCTAACATCAGTGGCATAGTCAGCATAATTTGCAAAGCCAAGCAATCTAGCAAGCTTGTGCCGCAGCTGAATCTGAAATTGTACAAGAACATGATTATTAACTGGAATTTGAATAGGAGGAGAAGACAGCATATTAGTACATTGGTCAGTCAATCTGCATCCATCAGGAACTGAAGTGTACAGTAAGTTCATCGTAATCATCAGCATTTTCTGTGAAAACAATATTCTCCACAGACAACCAAAACAATCGAAGTAAAAGCTCATAGTACATTCGGTTCTCAATATAATAGAACTTCTAAGACTATCAAGTATCATGTCAACTTGTTTTTCTATGCAAATGCTCAGAAACTGCAAACTTTTGGGCATTCATACCAGCTTTTCAAGGATAGTAACATTGGCTTCACATCTGCGCCCATAGGAAATAGCAACAGCTCTTCTGGTTGATCCCACCTTCAAAGACAAAGAACTTCTAAATCACAAATGTTTAGGATGGTTATCAAGGAAGACAGACAAAGAACTTTCAGAAGTAACATTTATGCATAAAATAAGACCCTATTTCAAGATGTACATTGAAGAGATAATTAGAGACTGAAGCAATAAAAAAAAAATACATGGTGAGGTATTTCTGTCAGGAACTTGAATTTTGAGCAAGGATTTAACAGCACCGCAAAACACAGCTTGGCTCAAGATAAGTAATAGAATTTGCTCCCAAAACGGGTCCAACAACCAGCTTAAGTCCACAAACGGGCTGCTGTTTTTTTCTTTTTTTTTTGGGG